GACTCCACCTGGGCTTTCCGCTTCTCGAGGGTACCAGGACTTTTTCGTTTGCCGGGTCGTCTAGTCCTGCCCATGGAGGCAGCTTCCTTACCTTCCTTGGGGGTCTCTGGAGCCCACGGACAAAGCAAGAGGTTCTCCTCTTCTTGGTTCAGGTCTGTTTCAACTTCCTGGAAGATTCCATTCATAGCCACACAATGACACTCATGTCCAATTTTTTAGTTTAAGCAGAAAAAATCCCTATGGAAGTTATGTAAAAACCGACTCTGAGATAAGTAGTAAAAAAATTACTACCACTATTTTTATACTGTATTGGTATCAAGGGGAGAGAAAATGCAAACACAAGTTAAGTTAGCTTTGCCGAAAAAAAAAAAAAATGCAACCTTGCTACAGATCCTGGTCACTCAAAACAAGAAAACTTTGTGGATTCAGAACAAAATGCAAAAACAAACAAACAAACAAAAAAAAAAACAACACAGCATTATGTCAAAGAAAACTTAGTAAAAATCAGATGTATCTCCAGGTCTCTTCAGTTCTTTGTAGGAAATTTTTACCCTTAACAGTTCCATCATAGGAATCTGTTGAGGGCTTTTCTCCCTATTTTCTCCAGAAACAATTTCTGTACTATACAATATTTCAAGGCAACAATAACCATTGACAATTTTACAGACATATCAGGTACTGAGGGGTTATATACACATTTAGAAAATCAATATGAACATTTCTGTATATGTCAAAGTGTTACCCGATTTCCCAAGTGACAATGTTCCCTTCTAGTTTTACTTTACTTGGTAAGCTAAATAGGACATTCATCTAATGCCTTTCTCAGGAGGAAAGGGAGAAATCTTGTGGAGTGTCTCAGGAGCTCTACTGAAGTTCCAAAAAATTTCCTTCTATCAACCAAATGATAGACTACCAAATTTTTTACTTGAATTTAGATTTCTGGGAAGCTTTGCCATAAATATCAGAAAATAGCAGAAACAACAATATTCAATATCTATGAAGGCACTGGCTTAGTTCAGTAGTACAATGCTGGCAATCAAACTGTAACCTTTAGTTTTTTTTCAATGTCTATAGGCACCATGCATACCAATTTGTCAACCACTAGAGACCAAGACAAAGACACAAGGAAAAGACATACAGACATACAACATATAGACACAAAGAGCTCTTTAGTTACCATTTATCATGTGTGGGATATCTCATACAACTGCAGTTTCACTCATAGGCCAAAATGAAGTTAAAAGGAAATACCAAAATCACGATCGAAAGGCTTTCTGTGCTAAAAAAAATAAATAACTGCCAGCATATGCATGATTCTAGATGTTATTTCACATCCCCTAAACTTTGAAAGAAAAGATTGGTTAGAGGGCCTCCTCGGTGGCGCGGCGGTTGGGCGCTGGGCTGTGGAGCTGCCCGCGGGCTCTGTGGTGCCAGTTCGATCCCCAGCCACCAGAGAGGGTCCCACATGGCGCGCAGACCTCTCCTGCTGCGCCCACTGCTCCCCTCAGCGGTGAGCTTCGGTCCTTCTGCCTGCTCTGCTCCCCGCTCTGGCTCTGGTGAATTCTCTCACCCTCCTGCGCTTCTGTCTGTGCCCAGTGCTCGTATAAATAAATAAATAAATCTTCAAAAAAAAAAAAAAAAAAAAAAAAAGAAAAGATTGGTTAGAGCATGTTAGTCATCTCAGGCTTTCTTCAAAAAGTGAATCCTTGGGTATCCTGCAACAATAACTAGAAGTCAGTAACATTGAAGTTTTGTCTTTTTCTTAAATAAATGTCTCAAGTCCTCGATGTTCACAAAACCAATGGGATTTTGTCTCTGGGTCAGTTCCTTCTGGGGCTTTCTTAACTCTGGAGAAGGATGTCCTGCACAAATTCCATACAGGTTTCGTAGATGCCAACCCCACGCCATCAAGACACTGGGAACTACAAATCCCATGATTCCCAAAGGGAAGTTGCAAGGACCTAAGGGCAGAGTTAAGCAGCTGTTTTTTCTGTTTATAAATAAAAACCAGCCACATTAGAGGGGTCTCAGGCACTCGGCTTGTGCTCTCAGCCAGGCAGGTTTGGTCTCAGTGGGTCATTTGGGATTCCAGGTTGGCGGAATGGATAGGACGCATTTAAGAATTTATCTCCCACTTTTCTCCCTGAGTTGTACATTTCCTCATTTCCTTTCCCTTGTAAATAAACCGTTTGTTAACCTTTTGTGTGTGCCTGCAGTGTAAGTCCCTTTTATATGCACGGGTGAGGACCCACAGTCAGGCAACCTGTTTTATATCAGGGTTGCCCTGTAATACTTTCTCTTCCTTAATCATCACTTCCTAGGTGACCTTTTCATGCTCAAGACTGTAAATATCATTTATATCACATCACCTCCTAAATGTATTTCTTAACTTGACATTTCACCTGTGCCCCATATGGTTCTTCTGGGGTCTTCCCCATGTCACTGAGGTGCCACCTCTCTGCCTGCACAGTCTGAAATACTGAGTGTCATCCTTGACCCCTCTCTCACAGCCCAACTTAGGAAACACTGTAAAGTCCATGCCTAAATATGCACAGTCCTATCACTTCCTATTATTTCCCTGTCATTCCCAACAAACCTATCAATCTCTCTGTCCTGGAACCTGCACTGGTTTCCTTCATTTCTCTTCCCACCTCTCACCCTTTCATGCTGCACAGCAGCCAGACTGAGGCTACCAGAGAGAAGTCCCACAGGTGTGTATCTGTTCAGAAGGTCTTGTCACCCCATATCTTACTCAGAGAGTCAAACCCTCCCAACATCCTCGAGGCCTGGATGATCCGGGTGCACACAGATCCCATCTCCATTGGCCTCTGCTCAGCCCTTGGCCTCCTTGCTCATGTCAGTCACACAGACACATTCCTGCTCGGGCATCTGCCCTGGAGGTTGTCCTGCCTGGACTGAACTTCCCTGCACATCACATCCTTGTGGGCAACGTGTCTATCAGACTTTTTCTCAAAGGTCACTTCAGTGAGACCCACACTGACCACGCTGGGAAGAAAGCCATTCTCCCTGTCCCCACACACTGACTCTGGGTCACCTTATAACACTTATAACACTCTGGGTCACACTTATAAACAGACATATCCCTTATTTACTGTCACAGTCTCCAGTCTCCCCTCCCCACCAGGACACACTCTCCACAGGCCGCAAGTTGTGCATGGTTTTAGTTCATTGAAGCTTTCTAGATGCAAAAACAGCCTGTCACATATCTGGTGCCACAGTTATCAGTTGAGTGATCAGTGTAGAGCATCTCCCTGTTCTACAGAGTCTTTACTAACGTGGTACATTCATAGGTGTATATCTTTTGAAAAGAAGGTTCCTAGGTAGAATATTTTTAAAAGATTTCTTTTAGTGTAGAAGAACTGGGGTGTAGGTGAGAGGTGTGGGGAGGAGGGTGAGAGCCTTCACCAGAGACAGAGAGTGGGGAGCAGAGCAGGCAGATTTACTGAAATACACTGCTGAGGGGAGCAGCGGGAGAGAGGGGAGAGGTCTGCCGTGCCATGTGGGTCACCTCCCTGGCTGGGGATCCAACTTGAGTTATAGAAGTGATAGCACTGAGACTTAACCCGTAGGCCACCAGTGTGGCCTGGGTTTCTAGGTTTATGGGTCTTATTTTTCAGCTAACTATGAAGGTAACTACTCCATCAACTCATGGGTTCTTTAAAAAAAAAAAAAAAGATTTATTTATTTATTTATACAAGAACTGGGGTACAGGCCAGATGCGTGGGAGGGTGAGAGAGTTCACCAGAGACAGAGCGGGGAACACAACAGACAGAGTGATGAAATACACTGCTGAGGGAGCAGCGGCTGCAACAGGAGAGGTCTGCTGCACCATGTGGGACCCTCGCCGGCCAGCGGGAGATACAACCGGTGCTGCAAGGCTGAGGACAGCTTCACAGCACAGCACTCAACTGCCTGAGCCACAAGGGGAGGCCCAACACATGAGTTCTTGATTAGCACCAGCACTAGGGTTACTGCATTTAAGGGCCGGGTTACAGGGAGATATTGTAGGGAAAAATAGAAATCCATCAAGAACTCTCTAAATTCATCAGGAAATTATCAAACCTTCTCTCTAGTAATACCAGAATTTTGTTCTTTAAAAAAGAGTTGGAAAAGATGGCAAGAATCATCCAGAAAACAGACCTAAAATGAAGCTAAAAATTACATGAGTTTGGAAATTCATCTCTCATCAGACTCCTGTGTGCAAGGGACACCCTGGGCCTTGTGGGGACAATGACAGATACTTCCTGCTGCTGTCAGAGACAGGGGCCAAGAGGACATGAGGCCTCATCTCTAAACATGAAAAATAATAGGTTCAAAGCAATAAAAACCAAAGAAGAAAAATATAAATCCACAGAAATTTGAGGGCAAAAGGCTAGACCCTGAGCTGAGCCTGGGCTGACCCGGCCACACAAGCACTCCCCGCCCAGACATGACCACACAAGGCCAGGTGGGGTCTGAGTCCCTTTGATCACAGGCCCTGCTGGGACAGGTGCTACTGAGGGACAAGGAAAAAGTAGCAGAGAGATGACCCCTGAGAAGGGACCATATCAAAGTCCACGATGCACTGAGCACCAACTGGACACAGGTCCGTCCCCTTTGGCTTCTCACAGGCTCTCCCATCCCTACCTGCACAGACTCAGCACAGCAAACACGTGATTCTGGAGGTTTCCCAATTCATTTCTTTTCAAATTTTAGGAATCATTTTTATTAGTCCATTGAACCTATCGGGCAAGCTTACAAAAAGTAATTTCAGGTTATTATTTCAAGAGGGACATAGTTATTGTTCTTGAGGAAAATACAAACACAGAGATAGACACAGCCTAGGCCACTTCTGCTAGAGCTGTCTCACACTGTGAAATAATGTGAAATAAAACATGAAAAATTTCAGGTAATCACATAAGTGTTGCCATTCTCCATGGTCCACAGCATCCTCAGAATATCCCCCTCACAGCTTCCCCATCACATGGTCCCATCCTCTCTGCCCCAGCCCCTCCCACTGCAGACCTCCAGGGTCTCACCGTTAGAGGCTGAGAGACACATCAGAGCCCTGGGCACTGTCACTGCCTGGGGGGACAACAAAACAGAACCTGGTCAGAGCCATGAGAGATGAGACCACAGGAGGGATTATGGGGGTGACTCCCCCACGGGCTCCATTTACACTGTCCCCAGGGGCTCAAGGATCAAACCCTTGATCCATACTTACCTGCAGCCTGAGTGCTGCTTCCTTCTTGTCTACTGCAGGAAGAAACATCATGTGAGACCAGGGAGGAGTCAGCCCATGAAGCCCTGAAGAAATCCCCTAGTCCTGGGCCACAGGGAAGTTTCCTGAACTGTGACTGAAGATCCAGAGCAGGACTGGGAAATATGAAGAAAGATGAGGAGAGATTTGAGCAACCACCTCCTGAAGTCTGCCCTCAGCAGGGACCTTCCCCTCTGCCTTTTGCTGGAATCAGGGGCCCAAAACCAGAATTATCAGGGTGAACAATCTGATTCATTTTCAAAAATTCTTTACAAAAGAGGGTTAGCAATCAGCTCCAGACTAGGCAAGTCAAGTGTGTGGATGGTAATTCTTTTTCACCTGGTAGGTAAGTTCTACCTAGAGATTGAAAAGCCCCCAGTGGACAAGATTCCCCAATCCCTTCCCTACCTGAGCGATTCTTCATCCACATCACAACTTCAGCTCCAATCAGCACAGCTACAGTGAACACAGCTCCAAGGAAAACCAGGCCAGCATTGATGCCACCATGATGCCATGGTAGGGATGAAGGATTGAGGAGGAGGGGGCACTGGAAGTGAAGGGAAGGTGAGACCCTGAGCCCCAGGCCTCTATCCTGACCTCTGAAGGTCTCCAGAAGGGCTCCTGATACCCCTGAGAAGAGCCTCTATGCTTATGTCCCTCTCCTCACCCCATCGCAGGACTCGTGACTCCAACAGTCCTCATGCTGCAGATGGCAAGTGTATCCCTGCTCCTCTCCAGAAGGTACCACCCACTGCTGGAAAGTTCCATCCCCCTCAGGCCTGGTCTCCACCAGCCGTGTGTGCTGGGTTAGGTCCTCACCATCATGCTGCCAGGTCAGGATGTTCTCAGGGTAGAAGCCCAGGGTGCATCCCTTCAGGGTGACCTGGTGTTCAGAGATGGGAGGGGGGGTGGATCTCTAGGGGTTCTGAGGAGACAGGTCCGAACATTCACAATTTGGGTTTTTCACAATTTAGGGCTGGAGCTCAGGCTATTAGGAGGCAGTTCTCTAAGGGGAGATCACAGACTTTTGTTCTTGACCAGGAGACTCAGAAAATCAGGAGTCAGATCAGAAAAATGTCCTCAGACCCAAAACAAGACCTTGAGAGAGAAACCAGCGGTTCCCAACATCACTGTTGGATCAAAAGGACCCTGTGAAAGGCTATTTTTCAGAGATGGTCTCCCCTTCAGCTCAGCAGAGCCGGAATTCCTTAAGTGTTCCTGAGGGAAAGCAGGGCCCTCTGGGCAAGTCTCTCCAGGGAGAACAAGACACCCAGGGGTGCTCCTCCTCTGGGACTAGAAACAGGCGCTGCTCTGACCAGCTTCCATCCTCCCCGCGGGTGCCGGCCCGAGGGAGGTTGGGAGACCTCGCGGCCCCTTTCCCGGGCGCTGAGGCTTCTCCCAGCACTGCAGGGGTCGGGCGGCCCCGCCTAGTGCTTCCCCTTCAGGTAGTTCTTCCGAAGCTCCTGGGAGCAGCCGCCTTCCAGCGCCAGGAGATCTGAGAGGCCGTGTCCACCGCGGTCCAGGAGCGCAGGTCCCCGTTCAGGGCCAGGTAATCGGCGCCGTCGTAGGCGACCTGACTGTACCCGCGGAGGAGGCGCCCGTCGGGCCCCAGACATCCCCTGGAGGGTGTGAGAGCCTGTCCCCACCCCGCGGTCACCCCGCCCTCCCCGCCTGGAATCAACCGAAACTGACGCGGGAACCTCGCGGGGAACGTCCCGGGGCTCGTCCCGGGTCGAGGGTCCGGCGGGTCCCCCTGCCTCGGGGGACGCTCGGGCCCGGGGTCTGGGGTCCCGCCCGCCCGCGGGGTGGGGTCGTGAGCGCCCCGGGCCCGCCCCGCTCACCGGCCGCGCTCTGGTTGTAGTAGCCGCGCAGGGCGCGCAGGTTCAGGCGGAAAGTCTGGGCGTTGGTCTTAGCTCTCCGCGTCTCCCCCTCCCAGTACCGCGGCGCCTCCCGCCCGGTGGAGTGGAATGGACAGAGAAGTGCGGCGGAGAGTGGCAGAGTGCGGCAGAGTATACCGTCGACGAAAAGCGGAGAGCATCAAGGCACCAACAGGCCTGCTAGAACCGTAATGGACCTACCCTGGATGGGTTGGTTGCGCCAACAGTGCTCCAAAAGCATGCATGGATGGCAGCTGCCCAGGTGCCTGTGCCTGCGAGTAGGATTGTGGGGAGACACACGGGAGCCTTCACTGAGGTGAATGACCCTCACTGAGTAATCAAAAAACAGGCGCCCTGGCGCTGGAGCAGGGTGCACTAGTTGCCATTTCTGCAGACACTGACTGAACTGGGCTAACGCCCGAGTTCCAGGTCTGAGGGCTTCCGAACTGAGAACCAGGGCACGAAACTTGGGGCGTCGGATCCCCCTGACTGAGGGGCACAGGGTAGACATAGCACCCGGCGCTGTTGAGTTGCTCCACACCACCCCTACTCTGTTCCCCGGAGACGCACCGGAAAAAGCACAGCTCTGGAAGGATGCGAGGGAAGATCTCTGGCGCCACCTAGTGATCAGAAGAAAATCACCAACTCCCTGATAGTTGGAAGCCAGGATTTCCAAAACCACCCTCAGGCTCTGAGAGGGGTGGGCCACCTGCAAATGGGGTGAGAAGGGAAACAAGGCGTGGAGCAAGACCCCACTCTGGAATGAGAGGTGGGCACGGGATCCGGGGAATGCCATAATAGTGGGCACTGCACAGGGTGACAGCCGGCGTTTTTGGATCTGACAGATCTGGAATTGAGAACTAGAGCACAGACTTCAGGGCATGGGATCCACACAGCTGCAGGCACAGCACAGGTGAACAGGAGGTTCCCTTTCTCAGAGAACCACTGGTGAAAAGCGCAGGTCAGCAAGTACAAGTCTCTGGCACCACCTAATGACAAGAACAAAATCGCCAAGTTGCTAATTCCCTGCTGGACTGGAGTAAATACAGAGGGAGGGAACTGTAAGGGACAATGCCCAGCAACACAGACACAGCATCAACACCCTGGTGGAGTTTTGGCCTAACAGTGCTGGACCCGGTCTGGTAAACAGTTTCTGACATCCTTGAAGGAGAACTCCAAAGGGATGCCCACCAACACCAGTGGCAGAACTTCCCAACACATAGAACTAATTAGAAAGCAAACAGCAGGGAGAAGGAACAATACAAATAACCAAGCAAGCCTGCAGGGAAGGACACACCACAAAAAGAAAATCAGTCACCAGAAGTCTACAACAATGACATGGAAGAACTCTTCTGCCCGTCAGATAAAGAATTTTTTTTTTTTTTTTTTTTTAATGGGAAGGAACTTTAATACAACTAGGAAACAATACAGGTAAGGCAAAGAGTCTAGTTTTTAAATGAAGTACCCAAAGTTACTGTAAAGGCAGGACTGGACACTGTGCAGGTTTTCTTTTTTTTTTTTTTTTTTTTTTTTATAAATTTTATTGTTATATTCCCCATACAATTGCAGCCCCCCATTCTGACCCCAATCCCTCCCCTCCCGCCCCCGCCCCCCTAAAAGTGTCTCTGGTTCATAGTTTTTTGTTGATTTTGATTTTCACTTTCTTATAGTTATTCATTTTCCTGGTCCATTATTTAAGTTTTCTAGATTCCTGCTATGAGTGAGACCATCCGGTATTTTTCTTTTTCTTTTTGGCTTATTTCGCTGAGCATGATCCCTTCCAGCGCCATCCATGTTGCAGCAAATTGCATGTGTTTATCTTTTTTGAATGCTGAGTAATATTCCATGGTATATATGTACCACATCTTCTTGATCCAGTCATCTATTTTTGGGCATTTGGGTTGTTTCCAAAGCTTAGCTATTGTAAACAGTGCTGCTATAAACATAGGGGTGCAGGTGTTCTTTGGAATTGATGTTTCTGTGTCCTTTGGGTAAATACCTAGGAGTGGAATTGCTGGGTCATATGGAAGCTCTATGTTTAGTAGGTCCAGAAATCTCCACACAGCTTTCCACAGTGGTTGGACCAGTTTGCACTCCCACCAACAGTGCAGAAGAGTTCCTTTTTCTCCACACCCTCGCCAACATTTGTTGTTGCTAGTTTTTTTAATATGTGCCATTCTCACTGGTGTAAGATGGTATCTCATGGTAGTTTTGATTTGCATTTCCCTGATGACAAGTGATGTTGAACATTTTTCATATGCCTGTTGGCCATTTGCATTTCCTCTTCAGAGAAGTTTCTTTTAAGCTCTTCTGCCCATTTTTTGACTGGATTATTTTCTTTGTTGTTGTTGAGTCTCATCAGCTCTTTGCAGATTTTTGTGATCAGTCCTTTATCATTAGTGTTGGGTGCAAAAATGTTCTCCCAGTTGGTGGGTTTCTCTTTGTTTTTGTTATTGTCTCTTTTGCTGTGCAAAAGCTCTTTAATTTGATATAGTCCCAGCTGTTTATCTTTGCCTTCACTATCACTGCTTTGGGTGATGTGTCTGTAAAGATGTCTTTGATGTGCAAATCACGTAGTGTTTTGCCTATATTTCCTTCTATATATTTTATGGTTTCAGGTCTTATGTCTAGTTCTTTAATCCATTTTGAGTTGATTTTTGTGTATGGTGTGAGGTGGTGGTCAAGCTTCATTCTTTTGCATGTAGCGACCCAGTTTCCCAGCACCATTTATTGAACAAACTTTCTTTGCTCCAATGCATAGTCTTTGCTCCTTTGTCAAAGATTAGTTGACCATAAATCTGTGGGTTTATTTCTGGATTTTCTATTCGATTCCATTGGTCTGTATGTCTGTTCTTGTTCCAATACCATGCAGTTTTGATGATTATGGCTTTGTAGTATAGTTGAAGTCTGGGAGTCTGATGCCCCATTCCCTTCTTTTTTTTCAGGAGAGCTTTGGCTATTCGGGGTTTTTGTGATTCCATATGAATTTCATCAATAATTGTTCTATTTCTTTGAAGAATGACATTGAAATTTTGATTGGAATAGCATTGAATCTGTATATTGCTTTTGGAAGGATGGCCATTTTAATAATGTTTATTCTTCCAATCCATGAGCAGGGGATGTCTCTCCATTTCTTTGTGTCTTCTTCTATTTCTTTTAACAGTGTTTTATAGTTTTCTTTGTATAGGTCCTTTACCTCTTTTGTTAGATTTATTCCCAAATATTTGATTTTTTTTGTTTCAATAACAAAAGGGATGGTCTTTTCGATTTCTTCTTCTTCAGATTTATTGTTTGTGTATAGGAAGGCTACTGACTTTTGCGTGTTGATTTTGTATCCTGCCACTTTACTGAACTGATTGATGAGTTGAATTAGCTTTTCTGTGGAGTTTTTGGGGTTCTCTATGTATAATATCATATCGTCTGCAAATAGTGATAGCTTGACTTCTTCTTTTCCTATTTGGATTCCTTGGATGTCTTTCTCTTGTCTTATTGCCCTGGCTAGGACTTCCAGTATTATATTGAAAAGCAATGGTGAGAGTGGACATCCTTGTCTTGTTCCAGATCTTAATGGAATTGCTTTCAGCTTTTCACCATTGAGAATGATACTGGCTGTTGGCTTGTCATAGATGGCCTTTATGATGTTGAGGTATGTTCCTTGTATCCCAAGAACTTCAAGGGCTTTTATCATGAATGGGTGTTGCACTTTGTCGAAAGCTTTCTCAGCATCTATTGATATTACCGTCAGATAAAGAATTAATAATCATCATGGTTAAAGAGCATAAAGAAAATAAAAAGGAAAAAATGATATGCGACAAATAATCAATGAACTGAAGAATGAAAATGAAACCTTAAGAAAGGAAATAAAAGAAACACAGGAGATTAAAAGATTACTGGAAGAGATAACTCTGGGAAGAGCATGAAAACAGAATCAATGAAATGGAAGAATGGATTAGTACTCTTGAAGATACAGAAATAAAAAGAACCAAAAGAGAAAAGGACAGAAGCAAAAAGGA